TACATTCAACAACTTTCTATCATTAACTTCTACTTAAACATATTCTTATTAAGTGATGATATACAAACATAAATTTTTTATAAAATTTTCAATTACAATAATATAACTTAATGGTAACCTTTCACTTTAAAACAAAACACACCATAAACATGATTTATATTTATAACAAAATCACTATAACAATATTTTTATGATATTTTTTGTATAAATTTTTGTATATGGATAGAATTTTTCATTTTTATTTCCACCATCATTTTTCTTTCTCGTCTATTCACACACATTTATTATAGTATTATCAAATACTATCATTCACATTTATTACAATATTACTGAATTTTTGTATTTTTTTATTTGGTGAATTTAACAAAAAATTACAAAATATTATACTTCTTAAGTATATCTATATTAGGTGTATCTAAAAAATAAAAATAAAATATTATTTAAAATATTAAAAAATTTAGCAAAAAAAAACACAAAAAATAAAAAAAATAAAAAAACTCAATTTTTTGTGTGAGTTAAATCAAAGAAGATGATTGTTATTTCCCTTGTATTGACATGAACAAAATATCAACATTATTTTGTATGTATAAAGGTTAAAGAGCAAATATGTCATTTTAATCATTTTAATCTGATAGAGGAGTAAGTATAATTTTTCAAATATGAGAGGATGATTATATTAAACAAAAATGTTAAGTGTAATTTGCCCTGGAAGAAGGGGGAAAAAAATACTTCAGCAAAAACCACTTAAAACCATTCATTCATTTCATCTTCTTTCTTTTTTATCCATTCATACTCTTTAAAACTATACTATCTTTTCGCCTTCTTATCAACTTTCTCTCCAGAAAGGAAATTAAGTCTCATATCCGTGTATAACAAATTAAAAATTAACACAAATTAAACATAGATACCCATCAAAAATTTATCAAAATTGGATCATATCGTACCAAATCATTGTGATCAAATTGTCAGAAGTTTTAGGGATGTGGAACATTTATTTTATTTTATTTTATTTATGGTGCCAACAGTGACAAACTAATTAAATTGTATCAAATTAATACAAACCTAATTTTCACTTAACTAATTAACCAAGTTTGATTACTAGTTGTTTTTTAACTTTGCAGGTTCTAAAATTTATTATGTATTTCTCCTAGGCATAAATTTTACTAAACTATAACAGACAAATATTTATTAACCTATATAGAAACAAAATTAAATAATAAATTCCAAAATATTTGTCATTTTATAAATTTAAATATTTGTTTGTATTTTTAATTCAAACAAAGAATTTGAAAGGGGTATTTTTTTTAAGGTCCCTGATATTATGATTTTATAGTATAAAGGACATCAACTATTTTCATGATGTCTAAGGTCCCTCAACATCAATCTAGAGAAATTTCAGTTTAGAGAAAATTCGATCCAGAGAAATTCTGGTCAGAAAAATTATGGTCCAGAGAAATTCTCTGAGTTGAAAATGTTGAGAATAGATTGATAACAATTCTGGGAAGGAAATGATTATGAAGGGCAAAGGCTGAATGCTTGTATGATGATGGGGACAATCAAGTAATCAAACCCAACAATCAGAGAGAGAGAGAGAGAGAGAGAGAGAAAGAGAGAGAGTATTGTAGACACCCCATTTTTGACCGACCTTAAGACTCAGACGTCACCGATTGAGCGCTTGGTGATATTACATAATGTGCTCGTTCAGAAGTTTCAGAGTCACGGTCGTGAGCCCTGCCTCCGGACTTCCGAACCCTCTTTTGTGCTTTGCCTCGGTTTGCGAACCAGGCTTGGTTTTCGCTGTTTCTTTTCCTGAGGGAAGGGAGAGGTCCCGTAGACCATCTCTCAGTGGCCGTGGGCTACATTTTGTGGCCGCAGGCCATTTTGCCCATTTCGGAGTCCGGTTTCCGGTTTTTCGGGACCGTTAGCCGTGTGCCTCGGTTCGGAACCACCTAACCATCTCCGTTTGTTCTGATTTCTGGCATACTTCCTTTCTACTCCGTTTTGAGGGACACTGGGGTTTGAGAAACCCACTTCGTGCCCGAATGCCACTTTCGGTGCTTGACGACTCATTTTCGGGATCCCGAACTGCGTGTTTTGGCCCCCGAACATTCGTTTTGCAACGGTTTTCGTTCATTTTTGGCAGGTACCTCTGTTTTATCATCGGAAAGGTCACTGAAGGGTGGGAGGCCAGTAATTGTTGCAGCAACCAGTTATATATCCTCCGACGCCCTCCGACGCCCGTTTTTCACACTTCCGGGCTAATGTTGAACACCTTGGGGCCACTTTCTTGAATTTTGAACCACATATCTGTGATGTACACACTTGGGAGGATCCTAAAAGTTGGTGGCCGGCTAGTAATGTTGCCTGACCCTTTTGAACCCCTCCTTCCGGGCTAATGTTGAACAACCTGGGCCCTTTTTCTTGAATTTTGAACCATAGGGTTGTGTTGTACACACATGGGAGGACCCTAAAAAGTGGTGGCCGGCCACTATTTCAACTTGACCTTTTTGACCCCTAGCCGGCCGGCTAGGAGGAGTGGACGGCCGGCCACCTGCAAGCCCAAAAACCAGCTGGCCATGATCCTTGCAACATCCACTTTACAGCTGTATAGCTGTTTCCCCCAGAAAATATCCCAATCCGGGGGAGATTTTGTGGGGGAAAACTTGCCTAATTTTTCCCCACCTGTGCCCCTCCTTTACTCCCTCTTTTTTGTCCTTATAACCAGCAGGTGATATCACATTTAGGGGTTAGAAAAAATTGCTTCAAGCCTTGATACACTTATCTCACTCCATCTCTCTCATTTTCCTTGAAAATTCCTAAGCTACACCTCATTTTCTTCATCACCACCAAGCTCTACCACCACCACTCCATTCCAGCAGCAAGGGGAGGAATTCCAGCAGCTAAGAGGCAACAAATTTGGTCCAAGAAGCAACAAAAGTATTGATCTTCAAGGGTGAGTCCATTTTCCCTCTTTTCTAGTTCATTTTTGCACCATTCCTCTAGCCATCATGCTTACTGTTTTGAGCTCCGACCAAAACTGAAAAGGTCATTTTTTTGAGCTCATTTTCATGTCTCATTAAGGGCTCAATCCTGTTTGAGCCCTCCATCTTGCACTTGCTTCAATACCCTCTTTGTATGTCAATATTTTGCATGCTTTTTCTAACCTAAGTGTGATCTATTTTGGAGTTTCTCATGAACTGTACGTAGGCTTATTTTGAGCCCCTTTTCAACATTTAAGAATGGCTCATCTTTGTTTGGGACCTCCATGTGCCACTTGTCTTTATATCCATCTTTGGTCCCCTATTCTTGTATGACTTGGCAGCCTATCTTGGTTCCATTTTTGGTCATTTTATAGAGCTAGAAAAGTTCTTTTTTTGGCCCATTATTCATGTTTCATTAAGGGCCTTTCATGGTTTGAGGCATATTTGCTACACTTGCCTTTATATTCCCTCTTTGGTCCCCATTTTTGCATGTTTTGGCAGCCTATCATGCTTCGGTTTTTAATATATGAATTTTAACAATGATATAAGGGTGAAATACATATGTAATGCTCATGTCAAAACGTTTCATCTTTCTTTCCCAAAACTAGGCCATGCTCAGTTTATACCACAAGTTCAAATTCATGTTCTTTACAGTAGAAAACAAAGGGGAAATCTCATACCGGTACAACCTTTCACAGATATTTCATCTGCAAGAAATCTTCAAACGGCACCCATATAAACGTAGCCCAGACAAGCACTACTATTGCCATTTTACGGATATTTCGTTCGCAGGAATCGACACCCATTTATACGCACATTTTTCGAGACTTTCACCCTAGACACACAGGCGAACTTAGTTTGGTGATGCACACCTCTTTCCAGCTTTCACCCATTTTTCTCAAAATCACATACATTTGCAATATATTAAATGAACAACAATATTCAATGCACATAGATGAGAAATTAGTTTCAATTCACCTAATCCTCATGTAATTTTCACAATAATCATAGCTATCATCCACCGATAGCCCACAACAGATATTTCTAAATAGATATAAAATCTCCAATACAGATAAACTTTTCAAATTTCAAGGTGAGTGATAATACATATCAAACTCCACCATTTATATCAAGGGTGAAGCACCATTAAATGCCAAAATCCCAAATTGTAAACTATTTAGTCCTGTGTTTTATTTTATGGACCCAAAGGTCCCATAGTAAATGAAATTACAATAAAAGAGTATACTACCAACACACGTTTGACTGAACACAGGGGTTAATGTGGGATTTTACAATTAGGTAAAATTACACATTTGCACCAAGCTCACTATAGACTTTTATCATTTCCTTCCTTCGAGAGCGAATCCCACACTATTAGGAATGGAAAAAAATTGAATCCTGATGTTGATTTGCTTATTTGTGCATACATATTTTGAATGGTATTATGTTGATGAGAGATTGTTGGTGGCAACAATCACACAACGCAGTCACGACTCGATAGTAAAACCTACATTGGTTGGACAAGGAATTTCGTATAAAATCGGCTGATGTTGACAGTCACACGGTTAACCTAGTTATGTAGAAGATGACTTCGACGTGAGAAGGTTAGTGATGTTCGTTTTGTATGTAGTCGATGTTGACTGTCGTAATATTAGGGTTTATTTGTGGGAGGGTATGGGTTTTGTGAAATTTGGGTTAGATTATCAATGTTTTTTTGCGATGTGTCTGTGGAATGAGTATGGTATTTGATATCCCAATAGTTAGGAATGTACATTGGGTTGTACGGGTGGTAGTTCATCAGTGTCGTTTAGTTTCCAATCTGGCGCTGATATTTGTGGTGTTTGTGTGTGTGATGTTATCTAGTTGTTGACCCATGGGTTAGCATGGTATTCAACTGTCGAATATTTGTGATGTTACTTTGTGTAATGTTACTAGAACTAGGGTTGATGCCGAAATCTGCATTCAGCTATGCAATGTAGATTTGGGCATAATGTTATGTATGTGTGAATGGGTTTACAGGGCATAGTGGCCCCTGTCTGTGGTTAGTGTTAATTGCAAGTGTGAACATTTCATATACGGTTACTGTTAAACCGGCATTTACGGGTAAGTCGTTTAGGTTAATGTGGGATGTGTAAAAAAAAATTTTGGCTTGTGGGGTGGTTGTGCATGGAGTATTTTGTATGTTAGGAGGAATTGGATATCGTTGCCCATCTGTGTTACGATTGTTCACTGTGTGGTCAACAAACCAATTGGTAGGTGTGTTGGTATTTAACGTATATATATGACATCGAATGTTATCCTGAGTAGGTTAAAATGCATGTTAGATAAACACACATTCAAAAAACGCATTACAACACTGCACAAGTGGGGTGGGGTTTGTATTGTATACGTTATGTTATACGATGTTGTTTTGATCGGACGACTGATTATGGTGTAATGCTTATATTAATGTGATACGTTTAATTGTGCCTATGTACACCCAAAACAAATTATATATGGCTGACACGTCCATTCACATTATCCCGTTGAACATACAAATATTGCCATGTATTTCGTAGACATTAGGGTGATGTTTGCTTGTGATTGTGATTTTAGGAATGGATAAGGTGACGTTGAACATGGTATGTGCAGCACTATTCTAACTTTGCATTACGTGACCCAAATGTTATCTGTCATTGAAATGTGTAACGCTAATTGAGATAATTATTTTAAGTAGACAAAGTACTTGCATAAATCTATTAGTTAATGTTTTGATGCGAGAGTTAGGTGGAAATGGTGTACTAACAGTTGGTTCTGAATGTGGCAAGTAATTTGTGCCAAAACTCAACTCGACATAGTGCATGAAAGAACAAGCATGAACCAAGATTCGCTGTGTCAACGTCCACCAAATTTGTGGTGTGATAACAAAGCAGGCTGTCATTTAAGAAGAAAAAAAACAGGCTTTGTCATTGTGAAGAAACTGGTGGTCGACCCATTGAAGCTAATGTACTGCTCAAATATGGTTGGGGTAATTAAAACAGTTGCTGAAATTGTGTTGGGTGAAGCCCACATACGGCATTTGCAAAAAACACCCTTTGGGGTGCTCACGAAGTGACCTTCCCCAATCGTACCCAAGTTCCCGAGCCGAGGCAACCTTTGGTGATGACGGACGCGTGGCCTTTTGGCACCGAGTCAGGGTTTCCTAAATTTCCCAAAATAAAATATTTAGGTGGCGACTCTGTATCTGGCAAAGCAGTCCATGTTTGGCACTTCTTTCAAAAATCTGTTTTCTCAAAACGATTTGCCGGATTTGGACTCTTTGGTTCAGACTTAGAACCGTGACTACAAATCGAGTCCGAGCTGTAGCGAGGTCCCCCGCGGGCTGGTTACAAGTATGTATAAGCAGTTCAATTTTGACAGTTAGAAGCAAAGCACTAATCCAAAGTTTCAAACACAAACACCTCCTTTCTTGGAGAATAGACAAAATATGTCTTCTATTACCTTGGTAACTGAGAAAGAGAATAATGGAAAAGAATTTAAATTGGAGAACCAAAAATTCACAAAACTGTTCAAACCACAGAAACATGCAGTTCTTCCCAAATCAGGTTGATTTGTCTTTTGGATCCTCCTCTCCAATCAGATCGTCGTAAGTAACAGGTACCCTCATTTTATCATGAACAGATGCCCGTTTCCTTTCAGCATCGAACTGCTCAAGTTGGTTTTGCAAATGAGCTTTCGCCCTCTTGCTCTCAGCAACAAGTTACAAAATTCTCTGGTTTGGTTGGACTGAATTTTCTCTGGGTTGTTGGATTGAATTTTCTTTGGGTTGAACCCAGAGAAATTTAAATTTTCCCTGGGTTGGACGTGTATATAAGAACCAATTTTTGTGTATACTTTTAAAAAATAATTTTGTAAAATTCAAGGATTTATAACAGATGAGGAATAGTAGGTATAGCATATCAATCAACATAAGAACTGCAAATTAACAAGAGGATTTGGAAGTTTCATGAACATGCATGATAACTAGTTATATCAATATTACCTCTCCAGAGAAATTTTGAAATTTCTCTGGATGCTTTGAATAATTTTTTAATGCAGTACCTAACCGATATAGCCACTGTATACAGATGCAGTTGAAGTTCACCAATCCAGAGACACTAGTTAGTCGCAATCTCAGAAGCATGCAAAGAGGTTTTCACACAACAAAACCAAAAGACAGATAAATACATATATTTCTAGTTCAAAGCCCTTCAGGGTGGCTATAATCATCGATTACACTTCAAACAGCCGCAACTCAAGGAAATTGGCCACTATTCCCTCGGCTTCAGCATAGCCTTCTTCACAGTTTCTCTGGTTTGGTTGGTCTGAATTTTCTCTGGGTTATTGGACTGAATTTTCTTTGGGTTGAACCCAGAGAAATTTGAATTTTCTCTGGGTTTGATGTGTATAAAAGAACCAGTTTGTGTGTATCAGAATAATCAGAGGGAGCAGGATTGACTATAGAGGTGAGTAACCTAGACTCCAATGAATTGGATGAATAACCCCCTTTTCGATTCAGGTCTGAAAAAGCAGAATCCAGGGCAATGGAAACAACAGTATTCTGAGGAGGAGTCCCTCCAAGCACAGATGGAAGCATGTGATATCGCACAATCCCCTAATCTAGACAGCAGATCCTTTGACAAACTACATATTTCTGAAGGTGCAATTGTTGGCACTGCCCCTGACAACTCTAGAGAGGAAAAGGCCGATAGTATTCCCCATTCTGGGAAGAATCTGACACTTGAAACACTCTTTGGGTCTGCTTTCATGAAGGAGCTGCAATCAGCCGAAGCACTAGTTTCCATCCAAAGGGGCTCGGTTGGTTCTGCAGGAATCGATATTTCAGAACAGTAAGGGCTACCTTTTGGAATCATGGATGATACTCTCTTCCCAACTTCCACAGTTGACGAGGGAGACGAGCTGCGAAGAGAGAGAGTTGAGTTCGTCGCAGGATGTGGAGTTGAGGAAGGAGAGCAACTGGTTAAGGGTTGGGGATTTGGAGCCAGCGGTGATCAAGCTCAGGACAACGTGGATGGAGAGGGGATGGGGTGAGGGACCTTAGACTACAAAAGAACACATTGTGGACCTAATCCATTACTAAAAGTTGGATAGGGACCTTAGACCGATTTTCCCAATTTGAAACATATAAGTTTGAGATACCTAATTTATTTTCAAATCCCAAAATAGTATGCTAATACAATATGACTCGTCTACCAAGAATTTGAAAAGAGTTTATTTTGAACTGAAAGAAGCAAATTTTCTACCATTTCTCCAACAACTAGAAAATACTCACTAATTTTTGCCAAATATTAAAGAAACACGTTTATAAAAAAAAAAGGATTTTTTTATTGATAAATCTCATTTGGAGGTGTTCTAACCCAATATGTAATAACTTGGATTCTAATTCATATCAGATTGGTATTGATGAGTTGGCAAGTGAACTTTAAACCTTATAATTGAGAATTTTTTGGGGATGTTTGGAACCTTGAATGAAGCCTTAACAAAGTGTTTAGGCAAGATTAGATCAAGAACCCCAAATTTGAGATTTTGTTTTTGACCAACCTTCACTCTTTTGCCCTTTCCTCTTTCCATACTTAGAATTTGTATGTGAGACTAGCATCATTGGAAAGCTTGTTTCCCGGGTTTCAATTTGGACACGAACCACCTAAAACGGAGTTCGAACGAGAGAATTATGCTTGTTTCAATTTTGAGTTTCTGTGCTGGAAGGATGCTCGCTCAAGTGAGCTTTTCTTCGCTCAAGCGAAAAGTGCGTTTTTCAGAGAATCTGAGAGCTTCTTTTCTCCGCTTGAGCCAAGCTTCCTTCGCTCGAGCAAAGGGTACGAACTCACCATGCTTAAAAATCATTTCTGTAATGACCCAATTTTTTTTTTTTTAAAATAGCTAGTGCATAATCTAATTGAGCAAATTTTCGAATTTGATTGTTGTGTAAATTCTGTGCAAAAAAAATTCGGTTTTCTATTTTTTAAAAATAGTTCCCGATCTCAAAAAATTATAAAATTTTTATATGTTGTTCCCATATGAGTCTAGCACGTTGGATAAAAATTTCAGAATTCAATGAAGAGTATTTATTTTATGAAAATTCACGGACTGATTGGTGTTCAGTTTAATTTATAGCAGAATTTTGTTATTTAATTTTGAATGTTTAGATCATGATTTGGATAAATTTGTTGGGTCTATCTTGGTATATAATTGGACCATGTTTGGCTTATGGGTGGGACCCGTGACTTAGGTTTAATTTAATTTGAGTTTGTTTAGTGATTCGAGTTTAACTGTTTGATCCTTTTTAATTATGTGATTGATAGTAACCACCTTGGGAGTTGTTATTATTTATTATATAGGAGTTATAATAAATGTTTGATAGTTGATTTTATATGGTGTGTACCATGTGGTAATAAATTATATATTTTATAAAGAATGAAAATGTGTATATTTCGTAGTGAGCAAAATATTATATTTTGTGGTGTACAAAAATATTATATTTTGTGGTGTACAAAAATTATATCATTTTATATTTTATATTATAAAATTTTGAAATATTATTACAAATTTTAAATAATACAATTGTGTAGTAGATGACAACCCACGTGAGGTTGGCCTTGCTTCCTATTCTTTTCTTCCACTTTTACTTTTCCTTTTGGTGATTTTGGGTAAAGACCTCTTTCACCTCACACACACACACACACACACACACACACACACACACTCTCTCTCTCTCTCTCTCTCTCTCTTTTCTTTTCCTCCATTGTTGCTCAATCTTTGAGTTTCAAATGGGAGTCCTTAGAGTGAGATTTTGCAAAAGTGTTGTAAATGAAAGTTGGAAAGCTCGTCGTGATCTTCGCAATGGTGTTCTCGGATTCATGATCGGGTGATGTTTGCATTTTTGGATTAGCTTTTCTTCATATTTGAGGTAGGGACTTTCTTTATGTTTTTACATTAAAGCTATTTTAGGGTTATTTTGAGAAAATATATCATTATAAGAGGTATTGCATATATTATTTTATTTCAGATTTTTGTTAGGTAATTTTTTGAAGGATAATTATGTTAGAATGTTAAGAAAAGTGGTATTTTGAGGTTGATTTGGGAAGACCACCTTATGTTGAAATTTTGTTGCTAAAAATCTGAAAATTTAATTTTAATAGTTGTATGGATTGTATCTACATCATATTATGATTAGATGATTTATTTTGAGAAACATTAAGTTGAAATATTTTTTTTTTATCTTTGATTTGGAATTTATTTTTGAGAAAAATAAATTTATGTTGATGAATATTGAGTAAATGCTTAAGTTGGGATTATAGAGTTGTTTTGTAATTAAAAACTTTAAAAGTGTTATATTCGTGACATTTTATAAAAGATGATATGTTGATGATTATGTTGTGTTCATTTTTATGAAAATAAAAATGTGACATGTAGACTTTCAAACTCATAACCTTGAAAATGTTACTATTGAGCATATTTCATAATTGTTGATGTAAATATCATGTTGGTTGAGTAATTTTAGAAAAGTTGTGAAATTATTATTGGTAGAGAATTTGATAAAAATATTACCTCTTTAAATGGCTTGGCATGAAAAATGGTTATGTTGAAATATAGTTATGTTTGAGGGATGAGGCATGTGAAGTTATGTTTGGTATTATTAATTTGAATTGTTTTTTAATATAATAAACTTACTAATTTATTAGATTAAATTAGTTTTGATTAAAAAGTTATATCCGTTATGGTTAAAAGTGTGTTATTGAGATTATACCATAACTTTTGACATAGTAGAATGTAAATGGTAATATTTAATAAGTAGGGATTTCCTTTGAGTTATATATATGTTTTTGTAAGATTTAGATGATTTTCGAAATCATCCTTGGATTTGTTTTGAAAATTAATTGTTAATTAAAAAAATGAGAGATTTTTTTGAAAGTGGGTTTACTTTCTTGTCCATTTTAAAATAGAAATTGAGGGTTTTGAACTATGAGGGTTGAAGAGATGTTTTTAGTGACTTTCTTTCAATAAATGAAGATGAGTGATTTTGGAAAGAAAACCTAGAAATTTGGGTTTTTAAGGAAGATGTTGACAATCTAAGAATATGTTGTTATATTTATTTTGTGTGCCAAAATAAATGATGTTTGAAAAATTATTTATTTGTTTACATATAAATGATGGTTTTCATGGTATATGAGAATTGTTGAAGTTTTGGAAGTTGTTGTTCAAAATGTTGATGTAATCTTGAAGTGACTAAATGGTTGAGATTACTTTAAGTACGTAAATTGTGTAGTCCCATAGATGAATTGGAATAAAAGTATTTATATTCATCTTAAGAAATTATATTGAAATGTGAAATGAGAAATGAGAATTTTGATCACAATGAGAATATTGTGTGGAAGTATTGAAAGTGGAAGAAATATTGCATTGTATTATTAATCATTGCATTGGCATATCAATTCATTTGATAATGATGAGCTTTGAAATTTGATTTGAAAACTTTGCATTGAGAAAGGAATGTTGGGAAACAAGTTTTCATGAAATGATTTTGGGGTAAATACGGTGGTAAGTCTTGAAAAGTGGTGTAGATGATAGGTGTCGAGCCTTCCAATTAATACTGGTAAAAATGGCAAATTACAGGTGTCGAGCTTTCCAGTTAATATTGGTAAAAATGATAGATTACAGGTGTCGAGCCTTCTAGTTAATACTGGACAAAATGACAAATTGGTAGTACTTATATAGTCTACTTGCAGACACCAGCATAGGGATTACCTGAGTCGTATTGTAATGCCCTCAAAATGATAACATAAAACCCATCAATAAAGACATGCATTGGTAATAAAGATAACCATTCTTCTTATTCATCAGAGTTTGATTACAAAAAGTATTACATGTTAACGACAAAAGCAAATTCCCTAAAGGCTTATAGTTTTCCAAGTTAACACTTGGTTACAACAAAAGAGTACTAACTCATTTACACATTAAGCCCTTGGCTTGGATATACACGTAATACATCAAAAGAAATACGACAACAAAAGTGTGTCCGCCTCTAGCCTCCCGAGCTATGTCCTCGGAGGTGACATGCTACCTGTACCTGAAAATGATATTCCCATATAGGGTGAGCCACAGCCTAGTAGAAACATACTAAACCAAATATGAACAATGACTAAAAGATTAGCAGTTGATAGATGGCCAACACAGATACTTTCCCTTATCACACTTTACGTTTTCATGACATACAAGTCCATATTACAGTCCATTTTCCAAATTCCTTTCAATTCTCAATTTACAACCATGGCTCAGAACCTGGACAAACAACTCATATGAGACAGTAACTCATATCAAACACTTCCCATTTCATAACAGATAAGCATACTAGCTATATCACACAACAACAGATAAGCATACAAGCTGTATCATCACTTCCACAGATATGCATTGAATGAATTGCAAAGGATGTCATGTTACTTTTGAAGCATGTTTATTTATTTAAATTAACTAGTTGTGGTTAATTAAAATAAATTAGGTTCAAGAGATTATGTAATAGAATCATATGGTTTTGACATGATATGATTTCACGTATATGTATGACTATTTTGGTACTCGCATATCTTCTAATATTTTAATATGAGAATGTTTGGTGAGCTAGTGATTGCTCACCCCCTGCCTATACATGTGTACAGGGAATGCTTTTCGAATTTGAAGATCAAACAATGGGTTTTATCATTTCATAAGTGTAATGTAGTGATGGATTGCACTACTTCATTTGTTGTTTGGCTGAGTGCTATTTTTTTTGTAAAGAGTAGTGTCCTCTCTTTTATTGTAAGCCTTAGGGCATTTCTTTCATTTATATGTAAATG